AGATAGATAGATAGATAGATAGATAGATAGATAGATAGATAGATAGACATAGTAAGGAGGGTAGTGTTGCATGATGGTTAGCATCGTCGCCTCACAGGGTTCCTGGAGAATATGCATGTTAGGGCAACGCCACACTCCAAATTGCCCTTAGGAGTGAATGTGAGTGTAAGTGGGTGGTTGTTTGTTTCTGTGTGGCACTGCGATGGGCTGGCAACCTGTCCACCTCTCACCAGGACAGGCTCCTTCTCCCCTGTGACCCCGTTGGGACTGGGTTTTTACTGACGATATCAGTAGATATAAGTTAACATACTTACATTTCAATCAAAGTGCATCAAAAGTTAAACAAAACCACGTGTATTAATGTGTAATTTTAATCAGAAGTTAATAAGTCAATATAGGTAAAAGTACTGACAAATGTGAAGAGTAGGACAAGTAACCATGCCAGAAGGTGTTCCGTGCATGCTCTGGAGTTTATTATTTTGTGAAATCAAGCTGTTCTGACAACAGAATCCAGTTAAGCTAAGAACTGCAGTGTTTCTAATAGCTAAAGACAATATGATGAATGCTTTCAATCCTTGTGGTCATCAAAGCTCCGTCAAACCTGTTACATGTCAGAGAAAATTATTTTTTTTGCAAATTAGAGCAATGACATACATATATGATTGGAAACCCATTATTGCAAACCATTAATGAGCCTTTCCTTGGACAACATGCATGGCTAAAACTTTTAAACCTCTCTGTAAAAAATGTATTTCTCCTATGTTAGGACTATGCAAGATGGGTCATCTCTTCCTATGGCCTGCTGCCCTGAAGACAAATAACTAACTGAGTTCATGTTTAAGAGAACGCATTGACTCTCATTTATCCAAAAGGAAACAGTGGTGGTTGAAGTTTAAATGAATGCCTTTCACTGAGCTAGATCAAACACAAGTGAGCCTGCAACCACTACCTTAATGCAAAATTACAAACACAGTAGGAGTCTGTCAAACATCCAGATTTGTACAGAAGGTGTTTTTTTATGTGGCATA